CTTCCGTCGGGCCACTCTGCCATAAAGCCCCGACTGGTAGAGGGTTGCAGTGATGGTTGACTTTCTACAACTTTCTCCCATCTCCCGACTGCATCTCTGGAGCTCAGCCACAGTCATCTTTGGGTTCTTCTGTACCTCTCTCACCAAGGCTCTTCTCCCCTGATAGCTCAGTTTGGCCGGACGGCCAGCTCTAGGAAGGGTTCTGGTCGTCCCAAATGTCTTCCATTTAAGGATTATGGAGGCCACTGTGCTCTTAGGCACCTTAAGTGCAGCAGAAATTTTTTTTTGTAACCTTGGCCAGATCTGTGCCTTGCCACAATTGTGTCTCTGAGCTCTTCAGGCAGTTCCTTTGACCTCATGATTCTCATTTGCTCTGACATGCACTGTGAGCTGTAGGGTCTTATATAGACAGGTGTGTGGCTTTCCTAATCACGTCCAATCAGTATAATCAAACACAGCTGGACTCAAATGAAGGTGTAGAACCATCTCAGGGATGATCAGAAGAAATGGACAGCACCTAAGTTAAATATATGAGTGTCACAGCAAAGGGTCTGAATACTTAGACCATGTGATATTTCAGTTTTTCTTTTTAATAAATCTGCAAAAATGTCAAACATTCTGTGTTTTTCTGTCAATATGGGGTGCTGTGTGTACATTAATGAGGAAAAAATGAACTTAAATGATTTTAGCATATGGCTGTAATATAACAGAGTGAAAAATTTAAGGGGGTCTGAATATTTTCCGTACCCACTGTATACACAATTACAGATGGCCATACCTCTGCCCAGCAACCAGCGATAGTAAAACCAAGCACTCTGGTCATTGGGGTCGGTAAAGAAAGCGTTCTGTACAAGCTCATACTCTGAAAAAAGATGCATGTGCTGAATTACTTATCAAACATCACTTGCAAAGTACTACTATTTCCAGTCATTATAAAGCCTCACACTGCCCCCTGAAGGTTTCTATTGGGTATTGCTGACTACACAACCTGGTCATTCAAATGCAGTCTTACAGTTTACCTTTGAGGAGCTGCTCTTCACAGATGCGATGGGAGTGAATTTGTGGAGAAGGTGGAGAGGAGGTCAGGGGAGGCTCATGGCAGGGTGAGGGGTGCTCAGGAGACTCCAGGTGAAGCAGTGGCAGTAGGGTGCTGCGGTAGTGCCAGCTAGAGTAGTTGGAGAAGTTGGAGCCAATAAGACGATCAGTAAACTCCAACTCCTGATCCACAGGCACACCAGACATCACCACAACCATCCGGCGATAATCCCAGCAATGGACTGGTGGAAATGGGAGAATATGGTGTGAAAGCAGTAAGGAAAATGAAAGCATGAAAATTGTTCAGATATGTCATGTCTGAATGATCTCAAAGAAAATACAGAAATCTCCACATTCTCTTGTCTTGTTCCTGTGGTCACTGTATTACTCACAGTTGCGGTCATCCAGGCTGAGGCAGTGATCACACAGACTCAGCTCTCTAGCCCAATTCGGTTGAGGCAAGCGGGCTGAGACCCAACCTCGGTGATGCCAGCTGCCATAGGACTTTGGGTTTACCTTCAGACAAGACTCCAGAAATAATAACTCGGCCTCGTAAATCTTTTGCACTTCATCCTTGTCCCTGGGGTAATACCGGGGAACAAAACTGTCATTTTCCTGTCAAATCTAAGATTATTTACCCATTAACACATATTGCTGTAAATTTGAATTTACAAGTGACCAACTAGTAATGATCTTACTTCACAGTCTCTAAGTGCATTAGGATCTCTCTTCTGTAGTTCCAGAGGGTTGCAAAGTCAGGATTGGATGATAGTAGCTGCTGGGTCAGCTGGAGAGCCTCATCATCCCAAATACCCTCTTTCCTCTGTGGTAGAGGAGACACATAAGTGTGAAAATAATAAACAGAGTAACACACGGGCAAACAGAGAAAGGGACATAAAAGAAATTAGCACAGTTACATGTCAAATCTGAAACTGAATCACTTGCACAAGCTCAGTTGGTGACTTTATTTACCTAGCACTTTAAATATTTATCTTAAATAATGCCATATGGACCTTATAGTTTTCCACTTAAGGATACAGCTGGTGTTATTCTATATTCTGTTTACCTATATCCTCCAACAGTCAAACGGTGAGGTGGTGAGTTACATCAGGCTTCAGCTACACAGGCAATACTTTTTAGTAGGATTATTTTGTTTTTAGTTTTGATCTTTTCATGCAAGCTGTTACAAAAATAGAATAACACCAGCTTTATGTGTCTTTTGAAAATACCTTAGAAAAACAGGCATCTCGTGCAGCTACATAGATCTTCAGTTTTTTCTCTCTCTCCTTTCTTTTCTCCTCTTCCTGCTGGGCTGTAGATTTAATCTTCACTCTGCCGTGCTGTCAAAAGCAAAAGGACGAGGAGCTACAGTAAGTACAGTTTACTATGCTGACAAAATGTTACTAAGAATTACTGATTACATCATACACAGTCTACTGTATCAATGCAGCAGATATACATACATTTTTAAAGCCAATGAGAAAATGATAAATCTCTTACCATCCTTTCTGTTTATGAGGTAGGTCTTCAAATTTCTGTTTATAATGGCACATGAAGGGTAATATTCAGTGTTAGGCCCGAGTAACGTTTGTTATGAAAATGCTGCACCGAGATTTGACAGCGGCATAAAAGTTAAGTCAAGTTAATATTATGAGCTCACCCATTAGCTAATTATCAGTATGTGACGTGTGCATTTGGCCTACAGTAAAGTTAAAACAATCAACAGAAACAGCCCAGATTCTGAAGTTAGCTTTCTAATTAGCTCCGTTTTCAGTAAACAAAACTGGGCTGGCTCATTCATTTAATTCAAAGCAGCCTAGTATAACAGTTAACCTGCAGTAGAAAACATATTCATTACAGCTAAGCAATAAACGATGCCTCAATTATCTCATAAAACACCCACCTGCTATGCACTTGGCTTACCATATAATTTTTTTTTAGAGTAGCGTTTGATTTGTCGTGTCACTATTGGGATTTCTAATGACTACTATTTTACTTCCGTCTCAGGAAAATGACGTCAAGAAGAGTATACTTGATTCAAAGCCGCGGTGGTTTGTGGCACTCTAGTGGAGAAAACAGCAAATAGCGGCGAAGAAATATTAAAACATTTTCACAGTTAGATTATACTTGGACTCAAAGTTTTATCTGTGTGAGTAACTCCAATGTCTCCGTGTTTCCAGATCTATCTGGGGGTAGCAGCTCAGTACTGGGGACGTTTGCATGAATTTGACCTCTGAAAACAGATAGGGGTGTTATTCTTGGGGAACTACTAAAAGTTACTACGGTCTGAGTTGCCTAGGCCTGTATATTGGCCCGGTCACAACTTGAACCACTACCATTAAAACCCAACAACTGTATTCTGTAGTTTAAGAAGCCTAACCCCAGAATCTAAAATGCTACCTATAAGAAGAAGTTTCCCCCCACTCAATAAATACAGTGCAGAACAGGAATAAAATGGTCAGAGTCAACAGGTTAAAAGGCACCTTTAAATAAACACCACAAATCAATTAATCACACATCAACCAAATATAAGAGGGCCTTGCCTCCCTGTGCATAAAACCATTCACACACTGTTCACACCATAAAATTGACTAAACCCTATTTGGAAACAATACAATAAATAGGGAACATAATGCTAGTGTTAGGTATTTTAGTCAGATAGAAATTGGATAGATACTTTATGTATTAGAAATGTTTAGTGGAGATAGGATGTCTAGTTAGACTGTTAAATGCTTAGTCATGCTTATGAGTTTCTACAGGTTACATCTGGTCAAGGATAACTAGAGAGAAGAGTTGATGACTGTCAGCAGACAGGGTGTTTAATATTATTATTATGACGTGTATAACTGTAGCCTTAGCCATAATATGTTCTTATGTTTAATATCATGACATGTACTAGAGGTCGCGAGAATGTTTTTAGTTACACACCACTTAATCAACAGACACACACACATTGATTTACTTCATGTTTTGACTACTGCTATGACCAGCTGCAAAACTGGCAACAGAGACGTCTCGGTTGACGTTTCTGTGTAGTATGGGGCTAGCCCAACCGAAGGGATATAATGTATAGGCCTGAGCACTGTTTTGAAGTTACTTGGACTGCCTCGTCTCTCAGAGTTTGCAATGGTAAGAAGAACCAAAGACCTCTTAACATAAAAGCAAACAAGGCAAAACACTACATAAGCAAAACACCACATAAACAAAGCACTACATAAGCAAAACAGCAGTGGCTATCACCCCTTGGCTGCACGTCACCCTAACACAGCATGTGCGATGGACGCCAACTTCTACTGGATCACGCTCGCATCAGTTATCGCTCCTGGAGAACATGCGACAATCTCCTAAAAACAGTCTTAAAGCTGATTAACACCACATAAACAAAGCACTACATAAGCCAAACAGCAGTGGCTATCACCCCTTGGCTGCACGTCACCCTAACACAGCATGTGCGATGGACGCCAACTTCTACTGGATCACGCTCGCATCAGTTATCGCTCCTGGAGAACATGCGACAATCTCCTAAAAACAGTCTTAAAGGAAAAGCAAGACACAGATCGATGGAGGGAGATTCACTTCGAATCAGTTACGGTGTTCTGTCGAATCTTCATACCCGTCAGAATTCCATACCCAAACTGTCTGCGCATGACTAACTGGCGGTGTAGGTGTGGCCAACCCGCCGGTTACAAAGTGTTAAAATCCCTGAATAGGTGGAAATGAGAGAGAACTTTACATCTGTTAAAAAGTTTTGTTAGCTTTATTTCTTTCATCACATTCCCAGAGAAACGTACTGTGGCGGCCCTGACCAGCCACTGGTGTTCATGCTCTGTTCTGTGCAGCCTTAAAGTCAAAGCGGTGTTTGTATTGGTTGCCGCTATTTTCTGGGGAATCTTGTGCTGTTCTGTCCAATGTGGGGTTTGGGGAGGAACAGGTGTGTGAGGGTATTAGAAGGGTAACAGGTGTGTGTGTGCGCCATTTGGCGCGGAACACGGGGTGCCGCTACTGCTTTTCTTTTACTATTCATTTTCCCTGTGAGCACACGGTGCCAGGTACATAGCAGTTTCATTTTGCGTTCTCTGTTGTGTTAAATAAAACCCAAGAAAAGACAGAGAAGGTGTTCTCCTCATTGTCAGCCTAGGTGCCAGCACACAGCTGGATAGTTAGATGTCCCAGTATAGGATAGGGTCAGACCGGCTCCGCTCATCCGAACCAGTGGAGCGCCACATTGGTGTCAGAGGTGGGATTACGCGCTCGTTGAACGGCGACATGGAGAGGAGTCTGGCCGAACTAGAGAGGGAAATAGAGGAGAACACCTTCCAGCTGGGGTGGCTGGAGAGAAGGCTACACCCGGAGCCAAGGCGTTCGCCCAGACGGCACGAGCGTGCCACTGTTAGGATTGGATTTCAGGAGTTAAAGTTATTTTTCTACTTATCATCAGTATTATTTTGCTTTTATAATGGAAAAGTTCAGTATGACTATTTGTCTGTGTTTCATTAACAGCTCCATGTATCAGTATTAATATTTCTTTTTAAAATGAGAAAAAAGACAAATGCATTATATAGCAGACAACATGATTTGGCACATTATAAAGAATATATAGTGAGAGTTATGCATTTTCTTATAGGTTAAAATTTACATCGGCACTGTGTTTCTAACCAGGACCTTGTTAACTTTACTGTTTAATACAGATTAATGATTGCAAAGTGTTACATGGAAGGTTTTATGTAATATAGGCTACATGTAATATACAGTATTGTCCCCCAGTTTCTCTGTTTGTCCATTTTCTTTCGCTCATCCAAAATCTGGTTGCAGTCGCAGCAGGTTCAGCTAGTTGTCCAGGATCCCTCTCCTCGGCAACGTTTTCCAGCTCATCTGACGGGATTCCGAGGCATTCCCAGGCCAGATGAGATATGGAATCTCTCCAGTGTGTCTACCCGTGGGTCTCCTACCACTTGGACATGAAGGGGTACTCCCTGAAGGCATCCTGATAAGATGCCTGAACTACCTCAGCTGGCTCCTCTCATGAACAAGACCCCGAGATACTTAAGCTCCTTCACTTGGGGCAACATCTATCTATCTATCTATCTATCTATCTATCTATCTATCTCTCTATCTGGTTCAGTTCTTTAATTTTTAGCCCACTTCTGCCCCCTTAGTGTTGTGTCATATTATGCTTACAGTACTAGTTATTACAGTCATTCCTTTGTGATGTCTAACATACTGTAGGTCTGTAATATTATTATATCATTGAAAATTCCCTGTATGCTATCTTACAGTGCATTTTCTATTATACCACTCAGGATCAGCTTCATTCATTGAAGTCGAAGTCAGCTGTTAGCACAGACCCATACCCTGTTGTCTCAGAGAAGCTGAGGGTCAGCTGGTCGTTTACATTTGTGTTGAGCTTAAGTTTCGACAGCCACCCCAGAACTTTATAAAAGTTAGTGGTTGAATCAGTGATGGATTCTGCTGGACTGGCTCCTGGCACTGTAAACAAAACAGAACACAGTTTGACTTTGGTCAAGTTCAGAACCATTGTGAATGCTGTGTTTATGATACCATTTTTACTTACAGTCAGGAATCAATAAGTCCTTGCTGCTCTGCAGAAACTTTGTGGATTTCAATATGTCTTTATTCAGCTTTTCAATTTCCTGGCTGATTTTTGCATAAGTGGTTTCCTTCTCCTTTTGATCCTTCTTCCTCTCACCAAAACCTATGTTTCTAATTTTCCTCATGTCACCAACTAACAATGGAAATAAAAAAGATTTAAACAATAATATATTTATATTATAATGGATAAAAACCATTTAATTCTCTTCACAGCGTGATACTCACTCAGTGACTTGGATTTAGTGTGCGCCACACTTCCACTGACATCAGCTTGCAGCTCCAGAAGTGTCTCCCTGAAACGCATCATCAGCTTCAGCTCTCTCCTGATGCACTCCTCCACCACTGGCTGCTTCAGCACACATTTGAGTTGCATCATGTTGAACTTCTCGTCAAGTTTCATATGAACGTCGTACATGTCAGGGCAGAAGAGTTGGCCACTGTTTATTGCCACCATTTCCTCAATCTTCTCAATTAGCTCAGTGACTTGACTCATATCATTTTTCTTTTTATTGTTCATGACATGGTATTTGTTCTCACACTTGTCTACCAACCAGCGCAGGGCACTATGCTCCCTCTCAATGTGCTCCTCTACAGATTTGTCTGCCAGTCTGTCTCCATATGTGAACAGGACCATCGCATGCTTCCAGATGCTGGCGTTGAAGAGGTTCATGTATGCCTCCAGGGTGAACATCTGAACTTCTCTAAATGACATGTCCAAGGGAACAACCAGCAGAACAGCATGAACACCTAATTGGCTCAGTGACAGACCTCGGACAATTTCTTTGTCCAGTTCCTTGGTACAGCGGGAGGACTCCCTCCACCAGCCTGGGGTGTCGATCACTGTTATCAGTCTGCCAGCAACCTCTGCTTCCTGCATCTGGCAGCGCTCATTCTCACAGGTGGCAAATACTTCCTTACGCAACAGGTTATTTCCTGT